ATCTCGAGGCAGCAGACAGCAAGAAATTGTGTAAATAATTCGCTGTTGCCGGGAGTCTTGCATGGGGCGGAGCACCAGGAAGTTCTTGAACTTTAAAAAAATTAGGAAATTCCAAATAGTCGTCATGAGCGATAGAAATTGTAATTTCCTCCTTGAGAGTCACATACCCCCTTTCATTTCATTTTAGAATTTAACCTCTCTTTCTCTCTTAAAGACAATTTCATATAACTTCTGTTTTCGTATTGTTGTACTTTCGTCCGCAGACTACTTAAGCACATGTCGAGCCAACTCAGTCGGAAATGTAATATGTAGGCCTAAGTGTAAAGTTAAGTTTCATGTTCTTCCTTTTTTCTTTCTTTCTTTCTCTCCCTCTCTCTGTCTCTCTCCTTTTCCTCTATCTTCTTTAAAAAAAAAAAAATCTTTCTTTTCTTCTCATTTTTCTGTGTGTGACATGCGTTGCGCGTACGTCTATCAATGTCTTAATATGGTAGATTTACATTTTGATGTTTCCCTTTGTAGGTGCACCTTATATTCCAGAAAGTGCCCTATTTTGATGGTCCCCCCCCCCCATGTATTGATCTCGATAAAAAATAAATTTCTCATTAATTCTATTTCCAATATATCTAATACTTGCACTAAACTCCAATTAAAAAAAAATCGTCTACTTTCTCTCAAGACAACATTATATAAAGGATTCATTAATGCAAGGCTATCACGCGAGTAATCTCTCAATTTCTAACTTCCTGCTTTCCTCATCTCCCAGTCTCCATTGCTTTAATATTCCTCGTTACTTCCTTCCAATTGAACTCCAACTTAATTGATGTTATACACTGTATCTATTCTTCAACTACAGGTAGATGCAAATGTTACTCAAAATCCATTATATAAATCACACTCAGGATACAGCCAATCGACGAGAATTGCTTCAATCTATATTTTACATGTATCATTAATATATGGTTTTACAATGGCTATGGTGATGAGTTGTCTAGGTAACATGTTGATGTGTTTGTTAAAATGTATTACCATGGTGCACCTTTTTGGTTACAAACAAATTATGTGTATGTATTAACGTAAGTTCGTGCCTTTACATATCACAGTAGAAATCAATGTTTTATATTTGATGCAGAATAATATTAATATTTGGAGATTAGAAACACAAACAGTTTCCATAACCGTTCAAGTGTTTCAAGAAAAAGTTAAGAAAACTTTCTCCTGGATGTAAATTGGAATTTTAAGCGGTTTCATTGGAATTAATCGAGAAATTCCCCTCGCTAGCGTGTAAATAAAAATACGCCGGCCGGCCATACGTAAATGGCAGTGACGGTAACAACGAATTAGGAGGAAGGGGTGCATACGTGAACTACAAGCGATGATGATGGGGCGGGTGGCAGGGGTAGGGGCAAAGTTCGCCCCACTCTTCAAGTACCCCCCTCCCCAAAGGGCCACTTTTACTTTGTAAAGAAGTGCCCCTTCCCCTTTTTAACTCGAATAAGCGCACATTTCATCAACACATGTGCCCCCTTTCCTATCTGATAAGGGCTATTTAGAAAAATGAGGCCCTTCATAAATAAAAAGTGTCCCTTTTCATCTCTGGTAAATGACCATTTTCATATATGAGAAGTTAATTCTTTTCACTTCAGTGCGCTCTTCACCTCCGATAATTGCCCCTATTCAAATCTGAGAGATGCTCGTTTTACTTTGAAAAGTACCCCTTCCCCTCCTGATAGGTACTCTTTTCATCTATGATGGGTGCCCATTTTCACCTTTGCTAACTGCCCTTTTATTTTGAATCGTGCCCCTTTCCCTTTCTATTAAGGGACCTATCCCCTTTTCATAAATGCCCCTTTTCACCTCTGATAAATCAATTTCTGATGGATGCCCCTTTTCCGTCGACAAATGCCCATTTCCCATACTCATGCCCAATCTCATTTCTGGTGAGTGCCTCCTTTCAGGTTTAAGAAGTGCCCAGTTTAAACCTTGATAATTACTCTTTGTACCTTGACACATGCTCCTTTTCTTTTCTAATAAGTGTCTTTATCCCTTTCGATATGTGCCCCCTTAACCTCTCATCATCAGGCACGTAGGCACGGGGGGGGGGGGGCACGGGGGGGGGGCACGTGCCCCCTAACCTGCTCATCGTTAGTCTTGCACTAATTTAAAGCGACTAAGAGTAATTTCCCCTAAAGCTTGCTTGCTCGCTCGCATTTATAATTATATGTCACTTTAAAACAAATGTTTTTTCAGTCTTCCGTGATGCTTATAACCCCATCATGATTTGGTTTTTTCCTCTTTATAAGATGTAATTTTTCACTCTGCGACCTCACAGATCTTACATTTTTTTCTCGCTCGCTTTGCTCGCTCGCAAATGAATATTCAGACAATCACACTCAGCCGAAAGTGTGATGCTTAAGCAAAAACTTGTATGATATATAAAGAAAAACAAATATTGAAATCGTCCCTGATAATGGGATCACAATGAAAGGGTATATACCAATGTCTAAAAATATGTATAATTTCGCCTTGAGATTTCGCTTTGTAGGTGCCCTTTTTTGTTGGTGCTTTCCACTTTGGAAATAGCTCCGCCGCCCCTGCTTACGCATTAGCGCCAGCGTTAATTTCACGCTTGCACGCACAGGGTGTGTGTGTGTGTGTGTGGGGGGGGGGGGGGTTCCTCTCTAGCTCTGAAGCTGATTTTTTTTTTTACCTAGATTCGTGCGATTCGGTTAATACTTTTAGAGGGAGTCTGAGGGGTGATGTGCCCCCCTCTGAAGCTGACATTTTTTTGGATTTTTGAAACCGGATTCGTGCGTTTTGGTTAATACTTTTTTGGGGAGTCTGATTTGATTTCAAAACACCTGCAGTTAATGCGGGATGGTGTTGCAGCCTCTCTTTCCCCGAAAATTTAAAAATTACCAATATGCATTTGTTATATCTTATCTCGTATATTTTGGTGACAATTAACACTTTTCACAACATACATAAGCTCAAATTTCCGCTCACTCGCCAAATTATTAAACCAGGAAATAGATATTGGGGCAAGAGGCTTCAGCCCCCACTGATGGAAATGTCAAAAAAATTGCGCGCGAGCATAACTTGAAAACGGGGAATGTTGATATCGGACAAGAGATGTGACGTGAGCATGTCCCCTTTCCAAAATAATTGTGCCCGTTTGTAGGTACCAGTACACTATTAAAGTACAGTGCTTCTAATATGACCTTGTCCGTATTGGTAAGTTTAAAATAATGGTCTGCGCGAATTTCGAATTTCCGGCCCCCCCCCCCCCCCCTATTGGAAAATCCTGGATCCGCGCCTGGCATAATGATGGTGGTTCTCTCTCTCTCTCTCTATTTATTTTAATCATGCATTATCAACTACATAGAAAGCAGCAACAGAAAACTTAGGGTTATCTGGGATAGGTGAAAGTGAGAGTTAAAAAGAAAGTCATGTAAAAAATGGCGCTTCACCTCCCCCCACCCCGAAAAAACAACAAAATAGTGGTCTTCCTCTCCAGCATCCCTCCCCCCCCCCCCCCCCCCCCCCCCCCGCTTATTTACCGGCCGGCTGAGTCGGTGCAAACAAATTCCCCCAAACTGGACCAAAAAATATGTATATATATATATATATATATGTGTGCTCTTACCCCCCCCCCCGCTCATTCACCGTTCGCCGACTGGCTGATTCGCCGCTAAATATTTTCTCAAGATTTGGCCCCCCCCCCCCTCTTGTCGCCGGCTGGATCCGCCCATGCGTAAGCATCATACTTTGCAGTTGGGTGTGATGGTCTGAAAATTCATTTGCGAGCGAGGGAAAATTTTAAGATTTGTGAGGTCGCAGTGCGAAAAATGAGATCTTATAAAGAGGAAAAAACCCAATCCTGGCACTCACCAGGGATGAAAAAGGCACTTGTCAAAGTAAAACGAATATCTCTTAGAATTGAATAGGACATTTAAAAGAGATGAAAAGGGGCACTTATGAGAATGAAAAGGAACTGTTTTCATAGGCGAAATGGGGCATTTATGAAAAGGGGAAGGTGCTCTTTTTTAATGGGGCACTTTTGTGCCTGAAAAGGGGCACTTACTAGAGATTAATATGACTGAGGGCCCTCATGGAGAACAGTATGAATACTGCTGAGGCTACCCTGGGTAAACAAGACATATTATTATTATTATTATTATTATTATTATTATTATTATTAAAAAGGGCATTTGTGAGAATGGAAAATGGACACTTATTGCAAAGGAAAATTGGAACTTGTCGAAGGAAAGGGGTACGTGTCAAAATAAATGGAGCACTTATCAGAGGTGGACAGGGGAAGTGGAATATTTGAAAATTAATAGGGGCACTTGTCAAAGTAAAATGGGCACTTTTCCTATGTCAAAATGGGCACTTCTTACAAAGTTAAAGAGGCACTTTTCCTATGTAATAAGGGGCACTTTTTGGTACTTGAAAAAGTGGGAGCCCCCCCCCCCCCCATAGTCCCCCCGGGAGCGCCACCTCTGGTAAAATAATGGTGGGATCGACAATAGGCCTACAGGCTTTTTGTGGTCAATCCCTGGAGTATATATATATATATATATATATACATGAAAGTTAAATTTAACAGAACATGAACTAAGTAAACTAACAAATACATCAACAGCAATTACAATAAGACAACAAAAAAGGTGGGGAAAAGGAATGGGAGCGGAAGGGAGAAGCCAGGCAAATTAAAATGAATTTAAAAGATGATTTTGATATGTTCGCTTAAAAACTGAAAGACTTTTGGTTCATTTCAAGGTATTCGAGAGATTATTCCACATGATCAGCCCTGAGTATTTGATAGTACATCTAGAGATATATTTATAATTAGGAACATGAAAAATGTGTGTGTTATATATTATACACATATTTTCCTTGATGAAACAATGTTCTACTAAAAAAATAAGCATGATATTTGACTTTGGCCCCCACTTATTGGAAATTGTTTATGTTTCTCGACTGTGACCCTTTCGTTTTAGGTGCTTTCCTGATTCCATACTTCATTTGCGCCGTTCTTGGAGGCATACCGCTCTTTTTCATCGAGGCTGCCCTAGGACAGTACACTTCCCTAGGAGGCATCAAAGCATGGAAAATATGTCCTCTTTTTCAAGGTAACCTCACTCACTATTATATGTTTACCGATCTTCTGTGAAACCCAGAGCCCCGTGGCATAAAACTTACCATTGATGGCAAAGTTTCCATCAATGGTTAGTTTTTGTGCAAGGGGGCCCTGGTAATGGCATCGTATCACGAATCCCTACAAGTTCACCGACATCCCATTGAAACGCGTGTTAAATTTATTACACGCATTTCGATGGTTGGTCCGCGGACTTTGTACTTATGGTGGTTCTGTGAGACGCTGCAATATTCAATAAGTTAGTGTACTTTTACCAAAATTGTAAAACCCTTCTAGATAAATACTTGATTCATGCTAATAAAAGGTAGTGTAATATTTATCCATTTATCCATCGATGGCCCAGTTTATGATGCCGCGAGGTGGAAAGTCGCAACCAATCGCTTTTATTTTTTAAATATTTTTATGTGTCAAGATCTTTCCCGCTGGAGGAACAATTTTTAAGCGGAGAGGGTATATATTTCCCTTTATTTACCCTATTCTTTATCTTTACAATGCGTTTAAAAAAGCACACACTTCGAAAATGTCTCCCAAATTAAAATTTAACGACATCTGCATCATAATTTTTAATGAAAATATAGGTCAAGGTCTATTCAATCAGATGTCTCTAAAAGTATTGACCATGTTTTACGCTTGAGTGAGTACTGGTCAATTTCGAGAAAAAAAATTGCGGGAATTGGTATGCGCATAAATGGCTAGTCTTGAATTGGAGAAAAGTGAAAAATAATTACATTCTTTCCGTTTATTATCAATACTTAATGTTAATTATCAGTTGATCTTTGATCTTACATCTGTTGTCATGCATTAAACCCTCCCCTCCCACACACACAAACATACAGGGGCGGATACAGCCGGCGGCAAGAGGGGAGGGGGGGGGGGGGGGGGGGGAGAGAGGCAAGACTTGAGAAAATATTTAGCGGCGAATCAGCCAGCCGGCGAACGGCGAATGGGGGGGGGGGGGGGGGGGGGCGGGTAGAATCGGCCCGTGGATCCGCGCCTCACGTAGTTTACATTTCAGATTAGTCTAGCTTCTCTGATTTTGCATGTTTGTGTTTAGCATTTTGACAGAATGTAATGGAGTACAGAAAATGTACACACATTGTTTAATTTTCATAAAAGACAGATACAATTGAACTTTGAAACAAGCAATATGATTCCTTTGTTTATCACGTCTCTTCTTTTAATTGATTTGAACCATCAAATTAACGTACTAATAAGGCTATATATTTGCTTTTTTTTTTTTTTACCCCTAATCATTTGTTTTTGTTCTAATCGCCCTGTATCGATTTTTATTGGTATTACTCAGTTGTGTATATATTGTATGTATGTTGTTTTTATTCAGACTGAGATAAAGGCCGATATTCATGACACATTGCTGTCTGCAGCATATAGAAAACATGCAGTCTAAGGCATGTCGATATTTTTCACATCCATCTTTAATTGAAGAAAATATTACGATTCAGTGTTTTTAAAATGATTATTTTGATAAACTTGTATAAAGATTAACTATTTAAGCAAAATTCGTCTGGTCACATGCTTGGCCGGTCATCATTTTTAAAATCAGGCATTTCCATTCTAGTTGGCCCATTGATATATGTATATTTTAAATAAAACTTGTTAAACATGTATATATATATATATATATATATATACATACATGAAAGAGCTAAGGTTTTTTTTGATTACTTGTAATGGCCATCCTATTAATTGTTCACTGTCCAGGGCCATGTCTTATAAAGAGTTGCGATGGATCCAAATCAATCGCAAGTCTTCTAATAAATCGCAAATTTGCAGTCTCCTATCTCTTATGTACATGGTTGAGATTGATACCATTTGCTAGTAAGTTGCGGTTAATCACGACTATTCATAAGACTCGGCCCATGCAGGTTTACAGCTCTGTACCTACAGATGCAGATTTCAAGTGTCAACTTTGAACTGTGAATTGGTTTTAGTTCTAGTAAAAAGTAAACAGATAATTGATTATGTCATGGCTTAAAAAGGGGTAAAAATCGGGAGCTTTCTACGGACCAGGGGGTGTTTCACAAAGATCCTAAGTTGAACTTATCTCTACGTCGGACTTAAAAATTATGGAAAGCCGTTAGCATTTTTGAAAATATTTTATAAAAGTTATTTTAAAAGGCATAAAATGTTAATTCGAGTCATTCATATTTTCTATTATCAAGGAGATTTCATGTTCTTGATGTGGAATTTATGAAAAGTCTAAACTACGTGAATTTTTGCATTAGAATATATTTCGTTTTAAGGCTTCAAATGGCTCTTCGTAATATTTAAGTCGAACTCAGAGTTAAGTTCGACTTGGGATCTTTGTGAAACACCCCCAGGTCACTGTTTTCTTAGATTAATCCTCTTCTTTATTCACCTTTTTAGCCATGGACAGACTGGTATATTGAGTGATATACTATGATAGCGACTGGAGATTGACATTTATGCAATTCTGCCCTTTTCAGTTGTTTTGGATGGTTAATCAGTCTTGATTTAAATTTTTCATGGTTTAACACGTTGTTTGATATATTGTCCGTTTGTTGTTATGTTGGTTGCAATGAAATACTAGAAAGGGGGAAAAATTGTTTCACTGTATAAAGTGTACTTGTACTTAGTAGCTAGTGTCCGGGATAGTGACAAATACATCTCAAAAGAATGGAATACATATGAAAACCCTTGATTCAGTTCACTTATTTTTGTTTCGTGATTGCAGGAATCGGTATTTCTACCTGTGTGATTGCCTGGTGGTGCAATATCTACTATGTGGTGATCCTTGCGTGGGCGCTCTACTACCTATTCAGTTCCTTCACCAGCGAACTACCATGGGCACACTGTGGGAACAGTTGGAATTCACACTTCTGCGTAGAATATGAAGTATGGCTTAGTTTTTTGGTCATCACAAACGGCCAATCGATGGCGTAGCTAATGGGGCCAGGGAACGGGGCATCCCCAGTTGACCAACTTAATATTAGAGAAAGATGCGTGAGAGGGAGGGGGAAAGCAGAAATGAAAGGGAAGGACTTATTCACATTTAAGACCTATGCCACTCTACCCCCCCCCCCCCCACCCCCGCCGCCGCCGCCGCCGCCGCCACCCACCTCACTTGCTGAGCCTATGCTACGTCATTTTTACAGTCGTTTGGATATTCAATGTAATCCTTTCCAGGTACGAGAAACGCCCGGCTGGAATGCTCCCAAGGGAGTGGAGATTGTGCACACAGTGTGTGCGGGCAAGCATTAAATCCAATGACCGGGGTAATAGTATATTTGTAAAGCGCTTAGAGATATTTGTATTAAGCGCTATATAAAAATTAAATATTATTATTATTATTATTATTATTATTATTACATCAATTAATTCCCTTTTTTTTTGGGGGGGGGGGGGGGACTACCAAAACTCTATCTAAAAAATGAAAATCCTTCTTTCAAATTCCCATCTTTCTGATTTCATATTAGATAGACCTTTTAAGTTTGAATTCCTTCAATAAATATAACCTTAAGTCTTATATAATTTCATTTCGGGTATCAATACCAGGATTTATAATTTTACCAATCCTTGTTTTCTTTGCAGAATAATTTCACATGTGTGAACGAGACGGTTTTCTCGAATGACAGTCTGACTTTGATTGAGGAGATGGTGGCTGGTACCAATTATACATGTGCTGAGTTCCTCAAGAGTACACCAGTGGAGGAGTTTTGGGAGTGAGTTCCATTCGGATTCACCCGGGTGCACGAAAGAAGAATGCATCAAAAAAATGTGTTTTTTTAATAAAAAATGGCATAATAACGATAGGCCTATATGCAGGAATGGGTTGTTATTTGTAACTAGTGTCCGTTTCTATAACGCTCTATAGTGTATACGACCCAGGGTATATGAACGTATCGTATTTGATTAACCAAATCAATTACATGTTATTATCATTACTGTTAGTATTATTATCACCTTCATCATCCTCATCATTATTATCATTATTATTGTTGTTGTTGTTGTTGTTGTTTCCTCCTACATGGTATGGGTTTACTACTCCTGGGCTGAGAGAGACAGCTGCTTGAGATAAAATGCTCTGTAGGCGGGATATGAAACCTGGGCCTCGTTCATGGAATGTCAATTGAATAAGCTATTCTACGATCCACAGTGCCGTACCCCTCCTTCCTTCCTTCATTCCCTCATCTTCCTTCCTCCCTCCCCCTCCTCCCTTACCCTCCTCCCTACCCCTCCTCCCTACCCCTCCTCCCTACCCCACCCTTACCCTCCTCCCTCCTCCTCCTCCCTCCTCCTCCTCCTCCCCTCCTCCTCCCCTCCTCCTCCTCCTCCCCTCCTCCCCTCCTCCTCCCCTCCTCCTCCTCCTCCCCTCCTCCTCCCCTCCTTCTCCTCCTCCTCCTCCTCCCTTCCTCCTTCTCCTCCTCCTCCCCCTCCTCCTCCCCTCCTCCTCCCCTCCCTCCTTCCTCCTCCCCTCCTTCTCCTCCTCCTCCTCCTCCTCCCCTCCTTCCCTCCTCCCCTCCTCCTCCCCTCCTCCCCTCCTTCTCTTCCCCTCCTCCTCCCCTCCTCCCCTCCCTCCTTCCTCCTCCCCTCCTCCCCTCCTTCTCTTCCCCTCCTCCTCCCCTCCTCCCCTCCCTCCTTCCTCCTCCCCTCCCTCCTTCCTC